TATGGGGATCCGCCCATGCATGTCAGCAACTCCCATATCAGGATTGACTTTGTAATAAATATGTGATCAAGAGGCACTTATTTAGATGAGTCCTTCATAGAATATGATTTAGTCTTTAATAAAAAAATCCTAATTAGTTTATTTTTATTGCACTTAGATTACTTTGTTATTTTCTCAAATGTAAAACCTATTTTATAAATTGAGTATGCTTCTATAAAATAATAATTATTGATGACTAATACAAAATTGTAAGCAAGCTCTCATTTTCTACATCCTCTCTCTCCTCCTTTCTTGCCCTCTCTTCACCTGCCTTCCCTCTCTCTCTCCTATTAACTCGCTCTCTCCCTTATCATCTCTCTATTTTTAAGAATATAAGGACAAGGAAAATCGTGACAATTATTCCATTGCATTTGAGACGCATCATTTGGAATGGGAGTTGGATCACTGCATTTGAGACCCATCATTTGGAATGGGAGTTGAATTGATCTGTTGTGAGTATGAAATGTATCCTAAAATATTTTTCTCTCCTAGGCATTTCAGAGTTTTCATCCATGTATGAACTTATGTCCACCGAACCCTCTCATCTTTCACAATTTTTAAGTTTTCATCTCCTTATCTTTTTGCATGCAAAAAACAAACATCTCCTAAAAACCATTCCTAAATATAGGATTCATAATATCCATTGGCATAACCAAAAATTGAACCCCCCCCCCCAACATTTGATCCACCATACTAAGAAAATCACACATCATCTCTTTTCTTCCTTCATAATTTTCCTCCAAAAAATTCTCTCCCACTTTGAATCATAATATTTTAAATGTTGTCTATCTTACAGATTCCATGCAAAAAAAAAACAGTCATTTGTCCCCCAACCAAACCCCTCACCTTTCTTGCTTAAGGAACTATATAACAATTTAATCCTATTGAATTAATAATTTAACCCATTTATTATGAGTTCATAGTTTCATAATAATTCTAAATATAATTATTATAATGACTTTGATAAATATTATGTCAAAGAAAAAAATAAAAAATCATATCATTCACATCAATATTATGGTTGCTATTATACTTCATATGAAGATAATATTTCTAATAAGACAAAACATTGCATTCTTCCTATCCCATAACAAGATCTCACTCATCCTTCATACTATCATAGATCAGATTATACTTCTCATGACACATTATTATACTAGCCCAAGCCTTCGATATCCACTTGAATCTCATTGAGCCTCCTACCCTAACATGATAGAAAATAAAAATCATATCATTCACATAAATATTATGGTCCCTATTATGATCATTATTATAATCATCTCTATAATAAAAGATATCAGAAATCAGATTCTTCCTAACCCCACTATGATACCTACCATCCCACTAATCCTTCATATTATCATCTATTATATCATACCTTGCACACATTATTATATTAAACAAAGTCACTAATCTTCACCAAAATCTCATCAAATCTAATATATATATATATATATATATATATATGTGCGCATTGTTTACATTGTTAGAATAGTAGTAAAATTTATAAGCAAAATCCAAACAAAAATAAGAGATGAAACACTAGACACCTACGTTTAAATGATTTAGTAATATCTACGTTAATATATATATATATATATATATATATATAATCAGCTCAAAAT